CCAAAGCATACATTTTAGTTTCCAAATATTTATTTGAAAACGAAACCATTCATACGGTCAATAAAAAAACATTTTGTTAATAATAAAAGACGAATGTAATCTCAACAGTGGCCGCGCCAGCCGGCGGGACTGAGGCTGAACCGCTTCCAATGTTCATTCATTCATTCAGTCGCGTGTTCAGTGTGTGTGTGTGTGTGTTGTTAGTATGTCAGAGAGGTGGAGTATCAATAAAAAAAAAGTTTCCACTAATTATTTCGGTTAATCACCACTTTCAACTGGGGACACAGTGCAGCAGCAGCAAAAACAAAGGCATTATAAAAAGCCGACAAATATTGTTAATTAATTGACATGAGACACTGGAGAGGTTGTCAGTCCTATTCTATAGTCTGTAATACTTTTTTTTTATTTTATCATAACTTCTCGGAAATTACTCAAAAATGCATTCATTGTGTGCTTCTGAGCACACGGGCAGCATAAACAGTGAATATGATGGTCTGGCAGATTGTTGCGGCGCTTGGAGGCAGTTGACAGTGACAGTTTTGTCAGCAGCCGTTTTTCTTCCTGCCAATAACCTATGGCTGAGGCAACTCCAGCTCCAACTCCGCTCATGTGCTCTGACTCAGGCATCAGAGCCTCTGAGCTACAGCGATAGATGCATTGGCGCTGTCCATGGTGCTTTACACTGGGACCGCCAGGATTACAGCGCCCCTCCAAGCGCCGCAGTCCCACCGGCTGGCGCAGTCACTGTTGAGATTACATTCGTTTTTTATTATCAACAAACTGTTTTTTTACTGACAATATGAATGGTTTCGTTTTCAAATAAATATTTGGAAACGAAAATGTATGCTTTGGTGTACTTTTACAGGGTTTTGCAATATGTCCTGTTTGTATCAAAATGCATAATTTCGGTCGGTGGTATAAATGCTCAGAAGTGTAGTGTGTTTCATTTTTGTACCTTAAAGGCTTCAGAAAACATACAAGACACATTTTTAGTAAAAGTCATAGGAAGAGAAGCTTGTAGGTTTTATCTAAACAGAGTTATTTGCATTATAAAAACCGTCGTGGCGGCTCTAGGACAAGTGCACTTACATTGATCACTTCCATAAAATAAAACGACAAATTGGAGAAGATTAAAAAAATTGTTCAAATTAAATTAGGGGACTGATCACAGATGTATTGTCTCTGTGTGTTTTTACATCTATTGTTGCTTTTAATTTGCAGCTATACTTTTAATGAAGCTGACATGTCATGACAGTCAAACACCCCCCCGGGATTCCGGGATTACAGCAGCCAATCAGCGTTGAGCTGCAAGCGACAGGACCCAGCGAAATACCGCTCCAGATGAGATTTCTCATCTCAAGCGACGAGCGAAAAATCGTTTTGTTGCTGTCGCTCGGAGCCCGAGCGATTTTTCTCCCGGGCGAATATACGCTCAATCGCCCGTTTGCATTGACTTTGTATGTAAACTCGTCACTAGCGAAAAAAAAAAACAGGTCCGGTGTGAACACACCTTAAGAAGTCACAAGCTGCAAGCCTGCACTGGTAGAGGTCTAATGAGATTCACTTTGCAACAAAACAATTGAAGAAGCAGAATGTGTTGGACCTCAGAGTAGTATAGAAGTGAAGATTTCTGCAGCATCTCATGCTCAAGGTGTCAAACGGGGAGGTCAGCGTGTGCATTGCAGGCATCTTATGCAGACACTGTAAGGAGGGGGATATCCCAGTGATGGTGCTTCATCTTTGGCAGGGCCTTTTTATGCTTACCAGGTGAACAACAGAGGTCAAAGTGATATGCATTGCATACCACAGTAATCATATGCAAACACTATAATCATATGCAAACACTGTAAGGGGGGGCATCCCAGTGGTGGTGCTTCAGCTGTGGCAAGATCTTCTCATGCTTACCAGGTAAACAACATAGGTCAAAGTGATACGCAATGTGTATTACAGGAATCTTATGCAGACATTGTAAGGAGAGACGTCCCAGTTATTGTGCTTCATCTTCATCTGTAGGAGGGCCCTCTCATGCTTATCAGGTATGTCACAGAGGTCAAATTGATGTGACGTGTACCACTGCTGTCTTATGCTTATATTGTAAAGAGGGGACACAGTGATGGTGCATATGTAGCATCTGCATATGTGTGCATAAACCTGTAAGATCTTCTATCAGTAATCAGTAAGACATGCCTGTGCATCCCACAGCCTGGCTTCTATTAGATACAGCAGATCCAGAAAGCAGTGTACAACAACATTTCTTGCATTCTTCATGAGAATGAAAACATTACCAAAACAGATCTTGACCTTGTGGGTCCAAAGGACAGAGGGATGTTGTATGCTGTAAAGCCCTGTGAGGCAAATTGTGATTTGTGATATTGGGCTTTCTAAATAAAATTGATTGATTGATTGATTGATATTTGTCTCAACGACCAGTAATCAATTTGGCTTTAAAAGAGACCATGCCACAGATATGTGTATTTATGCATTGAAAGAAATTATTGCAAGTTATGTGAGCAGAAATTCCTCTGTATTTCTTTGCTTTATTGACGCATCAAAAGCATTTGATAGAATTACCCATAGCAAAGCAAAACTGAAGATGAGATCTCCTTTATGTCACATTTACATCTCCTAGATATAAATGAGCACTAATCAAGACCAAATTGTTTTTCTCATTCTTCTCAAATGTCTCTCCTGAGAAATAAGTCTCACAGTGAGCACTGCACGAGCTCTCTCAATTCTCTCACAGCTGTCTCTTTTTGAATTGAATTGATTGATTGTTTTGGATAAGGGTAACGCTATAGAGGTCAGGAAGAGGGTCATTAATCACATATGTTTGACTACTGGTGAGCTCCCTGATGAAGTTCAGTGTTCTTATATTTGCAGGGAGATGGTGCCAGCATGTCTAAGGCTGTTGAGGAGACTATGTCTGCAGTCACAGAAATGCCAGGGGTAAGGCTAAGACCCAGTGTGAAATGTTTTGGATGTGACTGCATTCTACGAAAATGATTTATAAACATGCACCTCTTTTATGCATTCTCTCTGTCTCATGCTTCCTTCAGCCAATGGCTGTTTCTCATCAGCTTTGGCCTTTTATGTAAAGTGTAGTCTTTGTTAATTGACACTCAGGCCAACTTCTCGCGGGTTGTCCACCAACCAGGAGATCAGCAGTTTGATACCTGGCTCCTCCAGTCCGCATGTAGAGGTACAGAACCCCAAATTGCTCCCAATGGCTGTTCCATCAGTGTGTGAGAGCAGAGTGCTGATCAGCAGATGGCACCATGTACAGTAGCCTCATCCACCAGTGTGTAAAAGCTCTTTGATTGGTCAGAAGACTAGAAATGTGCTATACAAGTGCAGTCCATTTATCATTCAGAGACATCCTTCTTGAATACTGCTACTTATGCTTTGATAAATGAATAAGAAACTAGAACTTGTCCAGAGTCTGTAGATTTTTTCATGGCATTTATTACCAGAGAAAAAGACAGTAGAACAAAAGAGTAGAACTTCATCCATCCAGCAGTCAAACAGAGAAATGAACATCAGTCTAGTAACTACAGACTTTTTGGAACACAATTATTATTATTATCAGCTTGTAGAGGAGTAGAAGCAACCCGTCACCAAAACCATACTACATATATAC